TCACCCCCACGCGCAGCGGCCGCGCCGGCCCTCCTGAGCATGCGCGCTCGCAGCTCCCCCTCCCCAGCTGCACTATGTCTCCCGGGGAACTGCACAGCAGTCCCACCGCCTCGGGGCCCTTCCCCAGCCCTCGCCTCTGTTTCCACCCTGTTCCCCGGGGAAGCGCTGTTCCCAACCATCAGGTCACCCCCCGGCCGCCGCTTCACGCGCTCCCCGCCTCTGCTCCAGGCGTCGGGCCCCCGGCGACGTGCGCAAGCTTCTCCGGGGGGAACCGACGGCAGCGCTGCCTTCCAACCGCGCATGCCTCCCACGCCTCCCGAGGATTAGCTGCTCTGCACCAATCACGGGCCTCGCTGAGCCGCCATCGGCCCGGTCTCCACGGCAGCCCCGGCGGAGATTTTCGGAGGTGCGCCGCCTGCACACCGGCTGGGAGGAGAGGCGGGGCCCGGAGCTTCCTGGGAGATGTAGTCAGCCGGGCCCTCCCTGCGCGCGTGCGCATCGCGACGGTCGTTCGTGTTGGCAGGCGGTAGGCGTCCCTGCGTGTCCATGGTAACCAGTGGAGCCGACTCTGGTCCAGCGCAACCCCGGGGCGTTGGAAAGGCAAGAGTAAGAGGAATGAGGGCGTAGGGAGGGGACTGGGATAAAGAGGGGAGGGGAGCGGGGATAGTGAGGGGTGACTGACGGGGGGCAGGGAGGGACCCAGAGTTTGCAGGTGAGAGGCTCCAGTCTGAACAGACAGAAGACAGCGGGGAAAGGGCTCTGCTCTCTCAGACCTAGAGAATGTGGTGAGAGGCCAGCGGGGCGGGGATTCAGGCCCTGGGAGGCCGGTGGCCAGAATAATTAGCAACAGGGAGCGAGAGCAGGAAGGGGTGGGAGTGAGAGGAGGGAGAGGGGGAAAAGGGGTAGATTCACAGGGACCAGAAGAGCAGACATGGAGAGTCAAGGGACAGACAGGGACACAGGAGGACACCAGAAGGGAGAAGGAGACAGAAATCAGAGGCACAGTAAGATGGACTGAGGTTTGCAAAGACTAAGAGAAGGTGACAGCAACAAGAGAGAAAGTTGGAGGAAGACTTGTGAGGAAGACTCACCCAAAACTTGACAAAGAGAACAAAGATGACCGGGAGCCTGTGTGACTCCCTAAGCAAAGCAACTGTTTCCCGCTACTTTGATCAGAGTCCAGACCCTGTGAAGTAGCTGCTACGTTGCAAAGGTGAATAGGATGCAAATTCTTTCTGTCCTGAGAAAAGAGAGCCCAGGGTTTGAGTTGTGTCACCCAGTAGGGCACAAAGCAGGACACGACACACCCCGGGCCGCCTGCTGTCCTTTAGGGCACTAATCCGACTGCGTGTGTTTTTTAAAAAATATATATATATAATATTATTATTGATTTCAGAGGAAAGGAGAGAGAGAGAGAAACATCCATGATGAGAGAGAATCATGTATCGGCTGCCTCCTGCACACCCCCTACTGGGGATCGAGCCCCCAACCCGGGCATGTGCCCTTGACCAGAATCGAACCCGGGACCCTTCAGTC